GACCCCCCGCCTCACCCTCGAGCAGCGCAAGGCCAAGATCCAGGAGAAGATCGAAGCCTTCCAGGCCAACGGCGGCGCTATCGAGGAGGACGAAGAGGACGACGAGTAATGACGTCGTTTCACTGTGTCCTCTATGTCCTTGCTCTCGTGTGCATTTACTTGTACTCTGCTATCACTCTTCATGTACGTATGCCACAAAATTGTATGCGTCTTCCTTCGCACATGTCATTAGTCTTTATCTACATATCACTCTTCGCCTACGGGCCTGCACGCATCGTCTTCAATCAAGACCGATTATGACAGTATCCCGAGGGCTTCTTGTACTGTCCAATTCAGCCAGTCAAATAACTTCCCCTGCGCCTCATTGGCGTCTGAGGTGAAGAGCATCGTGGTCGTCTCGGATCTTCCTGATGCTCGGTACAGCCATGATGCCGCGCAACGAATCGTCGCATCCTCCGCAAACGCGATCTTAAAATTCCTACGCAGATCTTTGTTAGTGAACCCTGTCTGTGAAAGCCTCGTAGTCACCTACAGGAGACAGCCCTCCCATCTACCAACTGCACGCCCCATAAGCAGATCGACGAACCATGCCCCGTTGACATCCTCAGTCAATGCAGAACCGGTGGCACATATCCGCCGCAGCAGTGCTTGCTCTGTCTCATTGTGCAGCAGCTGAGTGAGCTGCGGTATAGACGATACGGCCAGAGTGGCCTGCGACAGGTGAGCGACGAGGGTCGAAGGGGCACCAAACGAGAAGCGCAGCGAGCGCCCGTCATCAATCCGGATTGTCGCACCTCCACTGATGGGCGGGTGCGTGTCTACCCCGGCGCCAGTATCAAGCATCCCGGAAAGCACCTGTTCGGCGCCTGCGCCTACTGCGCGGAAGGTGAACTTAGTGCGTACACCTGCGCGGCTCACCGCGCGCACGACGGCATCGAGTTCAGTGTGTACACGCCGGACGAAGCCGAAGTACTGTAATATGTCGACAACAGGGTGTAATATGCGTAGTGGGTGTACAGGCGCGGTACCTGGCCGCGCACGTAGGCGGCGAGCCTTGTTTTGGGCGTGAACGCGGAGAAGAAGAAGGGGAAGCAGAGCGAGCACAAGGTCGCAGGCGTCGGTATCTGGTCCATCACTTAGAGTCTCGCCTGTGTCAGCCGCTGCATCATCTAATAGTTCAAATCGTAGGATCATATCTTGGACGGCTTCGAGTTCAATGAGTCGCTCCAACACTCGAGATGACGCATACGAGTGAGCGCCTGCGTCACGAATGAGAAAGGCAAATATCTCTTGTTCCACTACTCACCGCTGTGCCTGCGTGAGTATTGCGTCTGCGCTGTGGATATCGGGCAACGGTCGTCGCCGGCTATGAGAAAACCTGAAGTGGAAGGCTGGGACACGGGCTGACATCCAGAACACCGGCCTACGACGAGCTGACCGAAGGGACTTACACAAACAGGCGTCCAACCCGTACCAAGGCCGAGCAAGACAACCACAAACCAGACATGAATCGATGCACAAGAACCTGCGTACACGGCATGACGAGACAATCTGTTCGGGACACGGCATAGCGGTCCGACATCCGAATATTGTTCTTCCCCCAACGATATTGACTCAGCGGTATGACGAAAAGACGCTCAAGCCGAACGCCACCCGTCGGAAGACAGTCACAATGTACTGCCTGATTAAAGACCTTCGACACAGCAATAAACTACAATTTTCATATGCACAGATTGATATGACCTGACACATCAAACCTACCCAAGATTATGTGGAGACGGAAGACACTATAAGATACAACAGACCGTGGAAAATTTTAACCGAAATCAGCGAAACGTGCAGGCACGGGCTTTGGCGCGAAACAACTGGGATGGAAAAAACGGTTCAAGTATGCCCCGTAAAACACCATGCGCTCTCTTGCCGTATGGAAACTTACGTTTCTTTATATGCCCCTAGCCACTACTGGGAGCACACGACAGTGGATGTGCCGAAACAGGACAAAGGAGTGCGAAGTGGTGCGAAGCTAAAAGCTCGCCGCGCCGCGCGGCATCCCCAGATGGTTTTCGGCACTCGCCGGCGCGCACGGGCGGCTGCGTCTCTTGCGAGCAGGACTGCGGGCAGATTAGGATAAGTGGCTACGAGGGATGCTGTAGAGAAGGATGCAGCAGGCTCGGTGAAGAATCAGTCGGTACGAATCCTTCCGTCGTGACACCGCCGTGACACCGCGATGAGCACGGCATACCGGCATGTGCCAGGTTCTTCCTTCTCCCCAATACATCCGCTCGCCTGTCTGATGTCGCTTCGGCCTACTGGATGTTCCCTCTCGAGCAAATTGCCCGAGGGGAATTGCGAGGATGGGACGGTGGGACGGAGTGTGACACTGCCATCAATGCAGCGTCACAATGATAAGGGTTTTCTTGAGGTGGACTGCCACCAGTCCTACGATCAACTCTTTGCTCTCAACAAAAGAGACATCTAGTAAGACATACAAGATTGGGATCCCTAGCAATACTACATATAGTCGATCTCCACTAGTATATTCTTCTGAAGCAACATGATCACTAAGTCCTCCGTTCATCCGTCTTCGCTTTCAACCGAGAAGAACGCCTGAGAGGCGGGCTCTGCATCTGTCCTTGAGGCGAGGGAGCAGCTGCGTCGGGAAGGGGTGTATCGAGGGGGGGTGTATCGATGTGAGGTGCGTCGAGGTGTGGGGCGGCTACGGCCGAAGTGGCCGGAGCTAATGACCGCTCACTGAGAGTCTTCTTGATCGGGTTCGGTTTGAGCTGTATCTTGGTCTTGACAGAGGGACATACAGAGACAGGCATAGCAGGTGGGTCGACCCGAGCGCCCCGCCGGTCAGGGCCACTGCCTATGTTAGGCACGGTGAAGGACTGCTCGCCTCCATCGTGAGCATCATAGCTAGTATACGCCGCAGCGTCCAGCCCACGCTCCCAAGCTTCTTCGGCGTCTATCCACGCCCGTGTGATCCGCTCGGATGGTGGCAGGCCAGGTTGCGTGCGTGAAGCTTTCAGATCGCGCAGGAGTACCATCGGGGCGCTTTGAACCCACTTGGAGTTGAGTGCCGATTCGATTGTGAGGCGCGAGGCGGGCGCGTCGTGCAGGAGGTGTTTCAAGAGTGTCAGAACTACTGCGCTTCAGTACGTGCATGCAGAAGCTTCGTAATCACATACTCTGCCTCCCCTCGGAAGATGCATCTAGGCCACGATGGTCCAGGCGACTCCAGTTCAGAGATCGGTATCGGATATGCTCCTCAAGAGACGTGGGCATATGGGCGAAGTGGTAGGCCTCAAGACCCAGATTCCCTTGCAACCTCGCTCTCGGTCAGTCTGATGCACGTGGTCCCCAATAGAGCTCCACTTACAAGTAAAATAACACCATGCCGCACGAATACGCATCAGACTCGAGGCCATAACCATGTATGTTGAGGGCCACTTCAGGGGCGGTGTATGGACGCGTGCCCACTCGAGACCTCTGTTACATTAATTGAACAGTTGAGGCCAAGTTGAATGAGGCGGTACTCACGAGAGCTCCGTCAAAAACAAATGACTTGGCAGCTCCGAAATCCGCAACGGCAATGCACCACGGTTGCGGATAGCTTGACCTGGCGAGTATGTTCTATAACGCGATGAGAACCAGATACACGCTTTCGAGCCGCTTGACTCACGGAGAGTTTGATGTCGCGATGAGCGATCCCTTGGCCATGGAGAAAAGCGATAGCTGTCAACAACTGATAGGTAATGATCTGTATCTCCCAAAGAGCTGTGAGATCCGTCAGCGCCATCGTTCGCTCATGATCGGTGCGAGTCACAAGTCACGAACCAGCGTAGTGATGACCACGCGCCACCATCACCCCGAATAGATCTCCTTGAGGCAGAAATTCCATCGTGTACACTGGTAAACCCGTCAGCTATCTCGAGTGAGCCTTTCGTTTGCGGAGGTGACACACGTACTATACATAGAAGATTGGTCGTCGTCACCATAAACATTGAATACGCGCACGATATACGGATTTCCATGGTTCAAGAGTCTCTTGACAGCAGCGATTTCGGATCGCGCAAGCGTTGACGTAAGCCTTCCGAAAGGTCTCCCGAAGTCAAGAACCTTTACCGCAAATTTGTGATACGTGGCGACTCGCGCGTGCACCTTATGTACTTCTCCGTACGCACCGGAACCAATCATAGCCTCGTATGCGTAGTCGCGAAGAAAGGGTCGTCTAGAATGGAGATCCACCAGAACGAAACCTGGGAATTATCAGACATACAAACGATTGGGAGAAGCAAGGGGACGCACCCGCTGCATCCCGATCGCCAGGATACCCAAGCCAGACTTGCGATGAATCGCGCAATGGCGCTGACTGGCCCTCCGGGACTCGTGAACCGTCGACCTGGTCAACACGAGATCGTGAGGTCATGTTGGATGAGCGCACGCAAAAAGAATAACTTGCCCAAGTTGTTGACGTATTCGAGAGGTTCTTGAGCCGGATCGTCAGCATACCGTCCGCCGACTTGGTACGATATATCACGGCGTGTACAGAGCCTTCCAACCATGTCAACATCGGGAAGACATGAACAAGGGAGAGACTCACCCGCCGCTATCTTGTCTCCACGTATGGGAATGTCACAAGGGGCGTTGGGCTTTCCTCGTCCCACAGTCCAGTGAACGAGTCGATCGTGCAGATACAAGCTACGGTTGAATTCCGTGGAACAGCCCGGCGCGAAACAAGGCTGGTCGGGGCGGAGGAGTTCCAGTCGGGCCCATGAATGTAGCCTGTAGACATGCAGATTTTCAGTCATACGGAAGAGTATGGATGGGTGGGTGACAACGGCGCGCACTCTTATACACCGCCAGGCGGTGGCAGCATTGATCGCACAAGAGGCCACGGTTAGTCAGGGGAATTTGTCACGCGCTAGTCCCATCTATAGAGGCCTGTTATTAGAGTGTTGTGTCGATGAATGACTCAGCCTCTCCTACTCGTTACATCGGGCATGACTAGAGCGGGCGCGACTTTCAACGGCGTCCCAACGCGCGCGTGAGTGGTGAGTAGACTCTGGCCATGGAGGACGCTGGCAAGAGGATGACGCGACCTTTGGGTTCGTCGTGGGAAGGTCACTATCACGTCCTCGCACCGCCTCTCCTCATCGTGCACCGCGTTGCCTACCACGAACATTTTGCGCTCTCAGCGTTCTCAACGTTCAGCCTCTAGGGCTCGCACTAATGCTGTAGCCTTGAGGAGATAGAGCTCTTTGTGTCAGCTTCGGATCATACGGTCCTCTGGCAGACAGCCTCATCTTCGGACCTGCGTGCTAAGCTCCAGCAATACCTCGTTTGCGTGTGCTGTGTTTGTAACCGGGTAAGGACGAACAACATGGCATGAGAAGATGAATAGCGCGGCCTATTGTTCATCTATCTCTGATCTGACGTCCACCGGATCGCGCTGAAAGCCGCTTATACGCCACGCATTACGAGCCGGCCAGGACGACAGGCCTCTGTGCCTTCTGACGGAAACCTCGCTCGTGGCGGAACAGTGATCCGGACGCCGCGATGTGAAGTTGGAAGCGTCGCCCTCTCCAGATGTGATCTTAGGGAGGGGAAAGCGTATCACTTGTCCTTGTGCCACTGAGCCAGTGGCGGCGGCGGCGGCGCCACCATTACTGCTATCAGACATGCATGCCGCATCCTAGATAAAAACCGCAGGGCACAGAAAGACATCCCACAACTCGAGCGCCAGCCATCTCCTGATAGGTTTCGACTCTTCTGTACGCATCATGGTCGGTCCTATAGCGTCTGCTGGCGCCAGTTCTTCCTGACGGTCGGCTAGAAGCTTCGATCTCGCAAGGCTCTTCACAGGATTGTCGACCTACCTGCGACATTGGCATCTTGCGGAGAGCATGATGACTCAGACTCTGTGCCAACTGCCGATATAACAGCGACGTTTGTTGTGAGCTTCGGAGCGCTTTCTCGAAGTTGAAAGTGCAGCACTAATGTTCAGCTTCAGAGTGGCATCAAGAAACGCTCTGCGCCATATAAGTATGTGCCCACTCAGGCTATACAACACCCGACGAGCATACATCAGGAGATGAAACCTAGCACCGGGCACAACGACCCGAAGGTAGTGAACTGCCCATATCTTGACTACCAGACCTACATCTCATGACTTGAGTCAGCGCTACGTATGCCATCAGCGAACCAAGGTCTTTGACTCTTCCGAATGTGGAAAAACAGCGTGCAGTAATACTGAAGCTCGTCCTGCGCCATACGCTCTACAACGCGTACCAACGCTGGTAATCGACCATCAGAAGACGGAATACACCTGGGAAGAGCGCGTCCTGAGGAGATAGCGTATCACGAAGACTCGGTCAACATCCTTAGTATCTTTTTCTTTATACAACTGTACACGCGCGTAGTTGTACTAGTCTTGAATGCAGACGTCCGCCGTTGTAAACGCAGCAAGCAGGCACGCAGGCGGGAAGTCTGGTGCAACTTAACCGCGAGTTCACCCATAGGGTCACGTCGTGACCCATGAACATCGAGCTACATGTATCATTGTATAGGGGTGTAGAAGGTGATGATACAGAAAGTCTGACGCGAAATTCGGGTAAGCAACGGGACGTGATTCTACGAGCAAGATTAGTGTGATGCAGAAGATATCCCGAAGTCGCTCGACTTACCATTGACAGCGAGCGAGAGGCGACTATCGAGGGATAGCAAGACTACGAAAGGGGCAGCAGATGAGTTACAGCCGTCAATGGCATGGAACTTATACGAGCTGTAGCAAACAGTATTAAGCGAATATCCTGCCTGCATTAGTCTGGAGCACTGTAACATAGTCGCGGACCGAACTCGCATGCGTGAACAGCTCGAGAGCAATTGACCCTGAGCCCGATGAAGGCAACTAGTTCATTCATTATCAGAGATACGACGACGAACAAGACGGGAAGAGGTAAACACTTGCCTACCCTTCCTTCTGTGCTTCGTAGGCCGCGCATTGACGAGTTTCCTGGCTTCTGAGAATGTCGATAAGTGACGCAAGTGTCACTCAGCGACTAGTTCTGCGTTCCTAATTCACGAGCGCCGCGCGCGTTCGCTGATTGACCGGGATATTGTCTGGTGTAGGAAGGTGGTCGATGTACGAGATGCAGAGAGGGTCACTGCGAAGGCGAAACAATCTGGCTAGGTTCCGAGGGAGGGGGGAGATACAGGCCGAGGTCGATGTACAGACGGACCAGAGGTAGCGGCACTGGCGGTGGTGAGGCTTCTGTCGCGTCGTCTTGACGAAGGCGCGAATGCGGTTGCTCGGGTAGCTGAGGCTGAGATGAGGTGAGCACACCCGTTTTCAGCGCATGTGTGCGACTTACACCGGACAAGCCTTACACACAAGATGGTGACGGTGTTCAATCATCGCCGCAATTGCCACTAGCGAGAGCTTCGATGCCGAAAAGCGCTCTGCCATCGATAAATCGTGTGAATCAATTTGGATTGGGGGCAAGTGCCGGGAGGATAGGAGCAGAACGTTATAGAGATTATATGGAAGGGTATTAGCGATGTGGAGGGGAAGAGTGAAGCTTTGAGAGAGAGCACGTACCTCGAGCCATCGCGGGATGCTAGTGGTAAGAGACAAGTCGTGTTTTGCGCGACTGCACCGTGAAGAACCGCGACGCGACGCGTCTCAGGCGTCAAGGGCGATGCGTCAGGGCGCGCCTGGGCGTGTATGCTCAACCGCACAAGTCGGGTGCGCCGCGCAACTTTGTGGCTCTAGCCACCGCGCCAGCGGTCCACGAGCTCGATCCAGCGCGTCCAGCGAAGTCGCGCTGGTCCAAAACTCAATGATTTTTTCACCGTGACCGCAGATCCTGATCAGCTCATATAGTATGAAGAAGGTGACACCGGAGGCAGACAGAATGAGTCTACTGCTCATACGAAATGCTTGCTTTGACCACCGTGCTGATCGAAGACAAAGTACGGACGGCGCGAGACGGGCATCAATCGTGTGGTCAAGCCTCAAGGCCTGTTCGCGCATGATTGTCGCGTGGGAGACACTGTCCTGGCATTCCACCAGCAGAGCTTTGGGCTCCCATAGAAAGGGAACACTGGACCTAGATACAGTCTGTTACTGTAGATAGCGAGTGACGAACGTATGGAAGCTGTGCTTAGACTCCCATTGGCTAGAATGTGTTGAAGCCCACGTTCCGGAGCCTCGTCTCGGTGATCTCCGCAATTAAAGCCGCGACCTAGTCAAGCTCGCGTCAGGCTCTACCTTGCTCTACTGATACTGTGAACATGCAGATGCATAGGCAAGCCCACGAGAACTTCTCTCGACGGATCCTACTGCACAAGACGGTAAACTCTGCGCTGATCTCGTTGACCACCTAACCATCTCGATCCGGACGCAGCGCACGATTCGGCGCGCGTCAGACAGTCGCTCGGTACCCCGCACTTTCCGAGCGCGACAACAGTAGACGATGTGGACACCATGGCCACTCAACTCACCGCCACTGGGCCACTCATATGTATGGATCTCTGATGCCTGCAAGCGACATCGCCCCCTCACAAGAAATCAATCACAGCGCTGTCCTTCAACAATTTATATGGCATTCAAGTTTACATGCTGATTCGACTATTCTACAACCGTGACGGGCACCCACTACTCAAGGCTGGTCAAGACATCATTGATGAAAATCATGGTCTGCTTTGCCATTTCCTCTACCTTGCTGCGCTCCTCAATCTTGACCGCAGGCACGATTCTCTGAAACTTATCCATGTGCCAACGACGGGCTTCCCGACGTAGCACGGTTCGTGGAGAGACCCCTTGGGCGCTGGACCTGGTCTTGTGGAGAAGGAACGCACGGACGGACTCTGCGCTGAGCGCTACATGGC